ACAAAGGGAGGGCTCTGGGATCTGTACTTCCAGAAAGCAACTGAACAAGAAGAACAGATGAGAGAAGTGGGGACATTTAGGGGCTCTCTCGATTTCTTATATGCTGTGACTTTTTGTCCCCCCTAAATTGGTTAACAGGAGAATAAATGGCCAGTATTTCTAAAAATGGACTGATCCTCTCAAAAAATTTTGTGGGTTGGGCAGGCTTTGAAGCCTGTGGTCATTTATGGAATTAGAACCTTTTCCTTCCCGTGGTCCTTCCCAGCGTTCCCCATGAAAAGCATCCCCCCCAGGGACCACAGTGAAGAATTCCACAGCAGTGTCTCCTGACCAGGCAGAGCAGAAAACAAACCCGGAGTAATGTAGTGAACCAAAATTAGCTGCTTTACAAGCACATTAAAGCATAGAGTCCATTGCCCAAAATATAACAGGAAGGCAAAAGCTTTTCTCTTCCATTTTCTCCCTCCTCCCTCACACCTCCCTTCCCTTCTTTCCACCATGCTTCTCTCAATAGGCAATAATGCAGGGTCTTGGATGAGTAGAGTTCCCTTCATTTTCAAGTAAACTCAATCAACATTCCCAAGAAAACCACTGTGTGCAACTTCAGTGACATTGCCGAGTTCCGGGCAGGGGCAGGTTTGCCGTCTATTTATTAGTCAGTCCTGAAGTCGGCCAGCTTCTTTATTAAGTTTTTATGTTAAGATACTACTATCTTTAGGAGCATGGAGACAGGGATGCTGACCTGAATTGCATTGCTGCTTCTTAGGAAGCAGACAATTGAGCAAGTACTAAAATAATTGAGCTTAAAAAAAAAAAAAAAGATTGTCTTTGGGAAACAGATTATCTTTAATAGCAATACTTTACATTTTTGCATAGCACTTCTAAAATTGACAAAACATTTTCACATATGCTTCTTCATTTAATCATTACCCCACCCACTGATGTAGATATTACTATACCCGTACAACAGAAGAGGAAACTGGGACTTGAAGACACCCACCTAGATCTTTCAACTCCATATAAATGACCTATTTATTACTCTTAACATCACAGTGTCTCTTCTGTGTGTTTTTAAAAAGCCTATCAGCTGGTATTGTAGGGATTTTCTCAGCTTGCTTTATGGAGGAATCCCACCCAGGGGCAGTACTTAAAAGTTGGATAGTGGACAGTACATAGCACAGTATCAGAGCTAGAAAGATAAGTGGGGGGACCTGCCTATAATCTCAGGGCTGGATCCACAAATTCCTTTCATGACAAAATTATAATAATTCTGTCCCTATTCCAGTCTCACAAGCCTCCTTAAATATGACTTTAACAATCAAAGACAAGAGGAAAGCTAAGGTTGGGACCTGGATAATGGCAGTTCCCAACCTGTCTTGCCTGATAAAATGAAAGATCTCACTGTGAAATCGTGAATCATTAGGTGGGAGGGAACTTGCCCACAATCTGGTGTAATCCTTTGCTTTTGTGTATGAGGAAGTTGAGACTAACAAAGACAAGCAGAGCCCCCAAAGCCTGAACTCAGCTTGGTCCCAAGCCACCAAGCCTACCTTGTGCTTGGTAGTCCTGTTCTCAGCAGTGCTCAAAGAGTCAAGTGCCACCCAGCTGGTCAGAGATAGTGGGACTGAAAGATTTCCAGGCACAGGTACCTGTCTCAGCTTTGTCTTTGCCTTGGCAGTAAAGACCAGGCATCAGCTGCTGGCTTGGCTGATGTGTTCCCAGAGCAACAGGGTGAGTGTTGGCTGCCAACATTGAAATTTCAGGGAATGTAAAGTGTTGAGCCAGTTAAACATCCCAAACTACCCTGTCTCTCAAAAACAAGGGTGACTCATCATAGCACTTCTGTGACTGGGAGGGTGTTAGGGAAGCCACAGGGCCTAAAATCCCACACTCAGAAGCCCCCAAATTCCCTCCCTTGGCCTTTTGCTCACAACTCTTTCCTCTAACTTAGAACCAACACATGTACTACTCCCAAACCCAGCCCTCCTCCCTGAAGCTCACCTGAACTCTTCAATCCCAGAGGAGGTTGGTCTTCACACCCGGAGTCTGCTCTATATAGTTTGGCATTTGATTCTATACTTCTTTTACTACTTCCTAGCCATTTTGAGTGTTTTGTTGTTGACCCAGATTGTAAATGATCTGAGAAGCCGAGTTTCCTCCTCTGCAGCCTAGAGCATGTGTCAGAGTGTCACCCAAGAACAGAAATGTGTGCAGGCTCACAGACAGTCCTGACTTCAAGACTTTACATACCTACTATATAGCAGACGCTCAATAAATTTTAGTTTGCTTCACAGTGGCTTCTGACTTTTCAAAAAAAGGGCTCAGGAGCCAGGCCTCTGCATAGGTCGAAAAAAGATACCCCTCTCCTGGGCAGACCCAGCCCTGCCAGGTTGCATGGCTGAGCCAGTGGAGTAGGGGCTAGAATCCAGTCCCCCAGCTGAGTGCCCTGTGCAGTGAGCTCCTGTATCACCTGAGCTGTAGTTCTTCGCAAGGGCAGCAACAAGATCTTTCTCTCCACAACCCTCCTCAGCTCTCCATTCTGATGGGGAAGGCCTACCCTGGGAAAGCTGTATTGAACACTTCCCAACATATTTCCCAGCATCTTTCCTGTTATAAACAAATAAAAACCAATAATAATAATAATAATAATAATAATAATAATAATAAAAGACACACCTGCAATAATTCCATGCCATGTCTATGCTCCCAGCAAGACATTGGGAGGCCCTCTGCAACACTGTTGCAACCTTCTTTTCTTCTACTGGGAAGACCCAGAACCTACCATGAGTTGTCCTAATTTTCTGTTTTTGCTTTACCTCAGTGCCCCTTTCCTGCTGCTCTTTGGGTCATATTCCTTTGCCTCTTTCAAATCCCACCCAAAACCCAGTCTCCTCCATGTTGCTTCAAAGAACACTACCCATTCTTCTTGGTACTTCTTACCACTCCCATTCCACTTTGCCTTTCATTTACTTAGATCTCTCTTGAAACTCTATTCCTCCATGTTACTAGCACGTAACCCAGTGGTCAGTGTCTTTTAGCCCTCTGTCCACAAAAGACTCTGGGTACTCATCCTGCATCAACCCAGATGCTTAATTAACTACACACTATCCTGAGCTTCCCTCAAAGGACTCATTCACAAACAATCTGGTGAACAATCTTGACTTTACAAGAGATTTATTTTATAGGAACAGATACTTTCATAGTCCATCCTACAGAAAACTATTTACCAATCTTTGCAAGCAATGCCATTTTCCAAGTGCTTTACTTGGCAGCCTTGTCCTGAGAGTTTCTCATCACTTAATGTGCTCCCAGCCACAGTGAATCTCTAAACTGTCTCTGTGTGTCTTTCCCATTTGTCAGATCAAACTCATTGTCTTTCTATCCTAACAGGCAGAAAAGCCCAATGTTGCCTCAACTCCCAACTGCTCTCATGCATCCTCCAGTCTATCATGACACTCAGCCAAATACAGGCTCTTTTTCAGTTTAATCTTCTTTAGAACAAATCAGGAACAGACAAGCCTAAAAAAATTTTTTTCTTGTAACATGCATGTGAGTATGTTTTCCTCCATGGAGGATAAAGCTCAGACGACAAGGACTGAGTCTTCTACATCCATGCAACCTATATAGTGAAGATGCATACAGTAAGCCTGTGACTAGGGTTTCCTCTACCAAAAACAAGAACAGAACAGTTCCAAGTCTTTTCTGTCTCTCCATTCTTCTTTCCTCCCAAGTAAGACCCAGAACTGGAGTCAGGGGGAAATGCCTGAAGATGCAGTAGACACTTCATAAATAGTTGTGAAATGAATGAGTCAGTGAGTAAAGAGGAAACAGGAGCAAATAAAAGAGCACCGGCACTGACAATATTTCAGACTAGCTAAGGGAGCTTTGAAAACCAAATCAGGGGGATAAGATGAAGTGTGAATGCTGAATGGCAAGCATGGGTTCTGGTGTCAGCTCTGCTTTCATCACCATTTGGAACCTCAGGAACATCTTTGGGTCTCAGATCCTCATCCATCCATCCCATCCACCTGCCTGTGCATTGCTCAGAGTCCTCAGGGTAATTTGACATTCATGCATGCAGTGTCTTTCCCCAAATGTCCAGTCACCCAGTGCCCCTCGGCGCCTCTGCACTCTGCAGAAAGCTTTTCTTGGCTGCAGTCCTGGACCAGGGACCTTCATCGCCCGTTAGCAGAAAAGAATTCTCAGCTGTGGAAACTGGTAAACTCCACATATTTTACAGATGACAGTGTAAACTCCTGGTGATTCTAAATGTGGTGTGAAATGGACAAAAGTCATCCTGCTGGTGTGATATGGCTGAAATAGCATCACTACCACCGTCACCCCCCATGTACACATGCGCGTCATGGAAAGAGGAGACACAACAAGTTTCAGGGCCTTGGCCAGTGGGGCCTCTCCCCATCATTCACAGCCCCCTTTCTGGGGTTTTCTGTTTTTAAAAAATGTGGTCCATTTGTTCTGCAAGAAAACAGTTCAAGGTCACCTAAAAGCAAAAGAGGGAATTTATAAACCACACTCTTGAGACCTGATCCATCCATCCGAGTCCAGCTCTGAAAGGCTGTGCAGCACCCCCACCATATATACCTGGGGAGGAGAAAATCTTTTCAGGTTGAGCAGCCACCAATCCACTGCCACCAGGGTCAGAGTTGTGAGAAATGTCCAGGGGCATAATTTGGATACTAACAACATTGAGCTCCTGGGAAACAGAAAACTTGTTGAATTTTTAAATATTTATTTTCTCTAATTTGGTTAAGATATTAAAGCAACTTGAACTCTAGGTTTCTAGGCTGAGAAAAGGAAGAAATTCCCAGTGGATATTTGATTTAACAATCGTCCTCCACCACCTGGTCAGCTGGCCTCTGATGCCCATCACAGTTACATCCTTTCTGCACCTATAAGCCCTTAACTCCTCCTACCAAGCCAAAGCCCTGCGGGTAAGAAGCGCCCCAACCTGCTGGCACTCAAGTTACATCAAAGGGGCGCAGGTTCCCACTGAACGCATCCGCATTTATGTGTGTGCGTGTGCGCGCGCATGTGTATGTATATGCGCGCGTGTTTGTGTGGGGAGCGTGTGTATGCGCGCGCCCGGGTCCGTGGAGGGGGCGGGCTCTGAGCCCGGGGGCAGGGCTCCGCAGTGAAGAGTGGCAGCTGGACTTGCCAGGCTGCGAGGGACAGGGTGCAGAGCCGCAGTGCCGTAGTAGCGGGCTGGCGAGATAGACTGCTTTCAAGCTGCGGATCCCCCAGCAGAGGTGGAAGACCCTGGGAGCTGCCTAACCGCAGGCGGGTCGCTTTATCTCCGAGCAGCGCACTGGAGCCGTCATCCCCCCTCCCCCGAGAGGGCTGCGCGGGCGGGAAGACGCCGAGACGCCAGCTTCGGTCCCCTTTCTGTCTCTCGGTTCCTCTTTCCTCCCAAGTAAGGGAATAAGATTGGAGAAAGGAGCGCCCCAGGCAACCGCGCAACCAAGTGTTGCATAGTGAGGTAAGACCGCTGCCGTCGTAAAGGAGGGGGTCTCTCGCTCCGGAGGCGCGGGGTGTAGCAACTTGGAAAAACGAGGGCAAAGCGGGAGCTGGTCCCATGGTCAGGGAAGAGGCTGCAGACAAGGCCACTGCACCCTCCCTGGCAGTGCCACCTGCCACAAAGCTGCAGGAGGGGATGCTCCACTGGAGGGGTGCAGGGTGGGGCGCCGGCTCCCTCTGTGATTGGGAGGTCCCCAGACCGAAGGGCTTGCGAAGAAAGGCGGCCTTGCTACAGGCAGTTTGGTTAAGCAACTGGTCGAATTTCTAACCTTCTGGACTTACCTTGGCTCCTTGGAATCCAGTTTGCGCTCCTGGGAGCACAGAGCTGCGAAGAGCACGAGGCGCTTTTCCTAATGTCTGGCCGCCAGTGCCTTCTACAGTCCCGCGGCCAGACTTTGAGGCACTCCACAAAGCCTCTGGGTTGGTGGGCTTAACAGGGAAGCTGAAGAGAACACGGACAATTTGGCAGATAAACAAAGGGGAGGATCAGGAAGAAAATCTAACGCTAACCTGTGTAGTCTCAGAGCAAGCTGTGTCCGCGTGTGTTTGTGTCTTGAGGGGCGCGCATTCAGAATCACCTGTGGGGCTTTCACAAACTCCACCAGTCCACCTCTTCCTCCATATTCTGAGATCTTTCACTCCCAACGAGTGGAATAGAATTTGGGGAGGGGGGCTGTGGAGCTCCACAAAGCCCCACAGGTGATTCTGCTATGTTGCCTCCATCCCCGCCATCACTGCAGTGGAAAGCACGGGACGAAGCAGAGGAGACATTTCCCAGACACGAGCGATCCAGCTGTGAAACTCTGGGTGGCATTGAAGACCCTTCCCCCAATCGCCCCAGGCGGCAGGAGGGTCTGATGCAAAGCAAGGTGATTTGTGGCTGCGCCGCAGTGGCGCGCGGGTGCGCTGTGAACCCGTGGTCTCCCAGGTCGGTGCTGAGCGGTTATCTCCCCAGGCCTCATTAGCATACGTTGTCCTCTCTGTGGGGAGGAAGGCCTAGGGGGGCTGTTTGTCATGCTTTCATTTCAGGGGGTCTTGCATCTAATGGTGCACAGAGGTCACCTCTAGACATGTTGAGGAACAGTGGTCAAGTCACAGGACCAGAACTGCCCTTCTGGTCCAGATGAGGGCATCAACTTGGTTATTTCTGTGCTGGGATTCTGTTATAAAATACAGCGTGCAGAGCCACTTGCTGGAGCACTGGGCACCTTCGTTGTCAATGAAGGACATTAGATCATAGGGCTCAAATGTCAAGGTCTGATCACAAACCCAGTGCACACACATGCACACACACACCCTTTTATGCTTTATTGCCCTTCTCATTACAAGGATATGTCCTAATGTGGGAAGGGATTTCCACATTTGTCATATTAGAAAGGACTATATTTGCCAGAAATTCCACTCTGAATATAAATTGTACTTACTAAATAAAGTGGCTGCAACTAAGCTAACTTTTTGTTTTACTCCTGATCTAAGTGGAGTTTTGTTATTGTTCTTTTGTTTGTTTTGCCAGTTGTCTTTAGTGTGTTTAAGTCCAGCATTATAGGCGTTATGACAGGTATTTTTTCTGAGAGGGGTTTTGGTGGGAAGATGGTAGATGAGTCCTTCCTACCTTACGTTTTTATGTGATGTTTGGTTCAGATCAACCAAGACTGGGGGGAGGGTGTGATAAGGTGATAAACATCAGAGTAACTTGGAATGTAGCTTCTCAGAGATAGGAGAGGCTACTAAGATATTTATTCTAACTTCCCCTCATCTTCCCACACAAAACTACAAAAAAGTGTCAAGGATCCCTTCAGCCCTGACACTCCCAGAGGCCCAGACTGTGCATGTGTGAGGCTCTGCCAGGGCTGGCCCCCAGCTCCTTTGGGGAAGGGAAAGAGGAAGAAGGAAGAGAAATACTTTCATTGTGGTAAAATTCTTTTTTAAAAATATCTGACTGTATGACAACCCTATGTTGTACTCTTTTAGTATAAAAGTAAGCTGAGTCTATTGCAGAAAATTTTGGAAGTTGAAAACTGCAAAGAAACAAATCACTCATGATTTTGCCACCCAGGCCTCACACTATTCACATATTGACATATTTCTTTTCCATCTATTTTTTAATATTTATTTTTTAGTTGTAGTTGGACGCAATACCTTTATTTTATTTATTTATTTTTATGTGGTGCTGAGGATCAAACCCAGGGCCTTGCATGTGCTAGGTGAGCACTCTACGGCTGAGTCACAACCCCAGCCTTTCAATCTATTTTTATGACTTGAAATTTTACAGTCTATAGAGGGCCAACATTTATAGGTAACCTAGTAAATGTACTTTGCATGGTTTTAAGCATTTTATACTCATTATGTCATTTACTCCTCAGAAGTCCCTCTGAGATAGATAGTATTATTATCAACCCCATTTCTCTAGGATTGCTTAAAGTTCAGATGACTTGCTGAAGTCAGGCAGCTAGTAAGCAATGGAGCCAGAATTCAAATCCAAGCTGTCTGACCCCACAACGTGGATGCTTCACTTCTGTAGCTATTCTCTACTTTTCTTCTTAATTGGTGTTGCAGCAAAAGTCTTTCGTGAACATCATTATCCTGGCTGCATATTATCACACTGTTAGTCATGTAAGTTGTTTCCTATTATTAACAACTACAAATAACTCTGGGCAAAGTCTTTACTGCACACATTTCCAATTACTTCCTTTGGATAGATTCCCAGAAGTAGAATCACTGGGCCAAAGGGCACAACTGTTTGAAAGCTCCCAATATATATCAGAAGTCACTTTTCAAAAGGGCTACACCAAGTTATACTTCCATTCACCAGAGGCAACTCTGTTGTAGTCAAAGCAGGTGACATTGTTCAGGGCCTCACAAGACCAAGCCACACCACAGAAACATTCCCTAACCCCATAGGAGAAGGAACCACACACATCACCATACTTTATATACTCAATTGTGATTATAGAAATCAAATAAAGATATGTAGAATTCTTTGGCTAGATGTCACATGTTAATTTTAAACAAATAAACTATTGTGAAGAATATATAAATGTGCATAACATTCACTTCTTCACGCAAGTAACTATTAATAACCCTCACTTATGAATGTGTAGAATTCCATCATAATAGGAGTTGATATTACATCATAAGTAATAGAGTTTGGCTAAACACACATACAGACAATTTTGAAAGAAAGCAAGTTGACTGTAGCTATGAGTTTTCTCTAGATCTGTATTTGCCCCCTAGTCACCTCTGCCACTAGCAGTAGGCTTAACCCTGGGGTACAATTTACTGTTGCACATGGAGTAACTACAGTTGAGCCCCACGCTAAAATTTACTTTTGCAAGACTCAGCTAATGACTTAAAATGTCCTTCTGAGAAGCCCTCCCTTGCTGTTCACTGGAGTTGGGACTCTCAACCCACAGCACCTGTATATACACTTACCTCACTGTGGTGAAATCAGTTATTTGCATATCCCCCACTAAACTGTGAGTTCCCTGAGAACAGAGAACAGAGACCATGCCTACTTCTTTCCTATATTCCCCAGCACCTGAGATTGTTTCAGTGCATAATTGACAGTTAAATGTGAGGAATGAAAAAATAAAGATTTCCAGGCACTGTACTGGGTTCTTTATGTGCATTTTTCTTTCAGTGCATCTTTATTCTGGTCAGCCTTAGAAAGGTCCCTGTCTATTTTCATATAACATTCTTTCCATGTTTATTTAAATCTTTGAAATGAAATAAAATTAAAAACCCAGCCTTTAGTCATGTTAGTCACATTTCTAGTGCTTAATAAACATCACATATGGCTTTTGGTTACCAAATTGGAGAACACACAGAACATTTCATCACTGCAAAAAGTTCAACTGAACTATGCTGGTTAGAGTGTAAACTTAGTGCAGGCAAGGAGTGTCTATGTCCATTTTATTTTCTACACCATATCATCTGCCCTGGCATCATGCCTAGCCCAGAGGAGATGAGGAGAAGGAAGAAAAAAGAGGGAAGGTGGTAATAAATGTCATAATAATACTAGTTATAGCATTTATTCGGCATCAACTTTGTGTCTCATATTGTGCTATATTTGAACGTGAGTTGTCTCCTCTTAATATCTGCATTACTACAAACCTGAATTAATGCCATCTCACAGACAAGGAAACTGAGTCTCAGAAAATTTGAGTAACTTGCCTGTGTTTGGCAAGCCCATAGGAGAGGCTGAGTTTTGAACTTAGGTCCATATGATTTCAAAGTCTTAATGTGTGTGGTGATGTTGATGTGAATTATCACCGTCTTGGCTTCCCAGGAAGTCAGAGAAGGTCTATTTTTGAAGGTAATCCAAGGGAATTGGTATCATTTTTGAATGCATTTCAACAGTGCAAATTTGTGCTCAGGGACTCAGGAGGCCTTGTCCCTGGCTGGGATAAAGAAACGTACCCATAATGCGGCCTGAGCAGAGGACCAAAACTTTAGAGAGAAAGCTAGCTGCCACCATCTTCTCCTTGGGGAGTCCTGTTACAAGCTCCCAAGAGGAATACTGGCTTGGCCAGAATCTTGAAGCCCATTAACAAAGTCATCTGGCTCCTATTCCCTGGCCTGAGTCCTTTCCACTGCCCCACCCTGCCTTGTAGGCCACTTACTGCAACACCCCTTACTGTCATCGTCACTCATGTCTCAGTTTTCTTTTTCTTTCTTTCTTTTTTTTTTTTTTTTTTTGGAACCAGGTATTGAACCTAGGGTTGCTTAATCCCCAGTCCTTTTATCTGTTTTATTTTGAGTCAGGGTCTCGCTAAGTTGCTTAGGGTCTTGCTAAGTTTCTAAGGTTGACTTTGAACCTGTGATCCTCTTTCCTCAACCTCTTGAGCCGCTGGGATTACAGTCATGCACCACCATGCACAACTAATTTCTTTTTCTTAAAGAATAAAATGCAGATTTTTCAAGGGAGGACTAATCAGCACCAAGAAGAGTGAGATTATCACT